AGTTTGCTGGTCTGCAGCATTCAGGTGTTGATGTAATGTCACAATCTTCCCAGGACTGGATGTCCCAGAAAATTCACCCCAAGGTCAGACAGCGTACCTTCAAGAAGTCAGGCTGGCTTTTTCTGCCTGTTTGAAATCAATGAAATCAATCTCCTAAGCCCATGACAGTCTAGTTGTTGTCTTTGGTGCTTTGCCAGAATATGAAAAGGGCTGTTAGCAGGAATGTAAAATCAGGCTTTGAAATATATTCAGGACTACATTTCTGTTTACAAACGAATGAGAAACATCTAACGTGTTCAGTCTCGGTCATTACTTTAGAGATGTTCGACACTGACACGCATCCCGTTTTTATTAAATGCCTATATCAACCTCAAACATCAGACTGATCCAGGTCTAATCCTTCCTGAACTCTAAATTTGAGTTTATTACGGCAAATGATCCGTCGGAGCGTTCGGTGATGCAGAGAGAGTCGCTGTGTTTACCATCAGATGTGAGCCAGCTATCATACTGCATCTGTGAGTAATGGTTCAATGACAAAACTGCCACCAGTGGAGCGTGGATTATGACAGTGAGGTAAACAGCGATAAACACGGTCCTCATAACCTTTCATAAGCTACCCTTCAGCGCTTCAGTTATCGTGTCGTCCCCGTGCATGTGTGTGTGTGTGTTTGCGTGTTTGGGTTTTATCTCCTCGGGTTGATAAATAGATGAGGAAATTATCCGATGTGACACGTTGACGGTCTTCAGTTTTTTGCGATTATTTCCTAGAAATGTGTTCCAACACTCAAATGAGAACTTCTCTCGCACACATGCAGCGAGTCGTCAAAGAGGGAGGTAATACTGCGGGTATTCGAGTTATGAGGGTTCAAATTCACTACAAAACTGACATTTTTAGAGGTTTGCATTAGATCTGAAAATGTTTCAAATAAAAATTGAAATTACAATATTTTGTTGTGACATGACTTGTGATTTTGCTTTAATGAGACCTAAAATCATCCATAACCACGTCTCTACACTGTTGGACGTCCACTTATTTATCGGCAGAGAACTGTCACAGTGACTACTCTCTATATAATGAGGAGAAATTAAAGGCTTAAAGAAAAAATTGTTAGAAAAGGACTATATTTAAAAGATGGATGTAGCCATGGCAACGCCACATTTGCTTTCTGGACTTTGAAGTATCAGTGTTAGCATTTTGACATCCTCCACCAAAAGCGATCATATGAAATGAGTAGGGGTGCAACGATACACAAAATTCACGGTTCGGTTCAGTTC